AGGATAGGCTCCAAAGCTACACAGAGAAACCCTGTCTCAAAAAACAAACAAACAAAAATGGTAAGACGATAGATTTTACATACCTGTTTTACCCAGGTGGATATTTTGGGGAATGAGGAATCGGGGCAAAGCGTGGGTCTTAAATGGGAATTGGGTGCTGGCGTCTCCTCAGGCTGGCCCACCTCCCCAAGCTGCCTCTGAGCCCCTGCTCCTGCCTGGCCCCATCAGGAACCAGTTGTGGAATCACAGCCCAGTGCAGACACGGAGGAGGAGGCTCTCAGGAGGAGGCTGGAGGAGCTGACCAGCAACATCAGTGACCCTGGCACCTCATCAGAAGATGAGACCAAGCCAGGTGGCACCCTCCATGCGGTGTCCCCAGAGGTGAGGTCTCAGGTCCCAGGAAAAGGGCAGGGCAAGAAGGACAGTCCCAGATAGCCATCCAGCCTTTCATGGGGGGCAGCTACCTAGCCACAGGCTTTGGAGGGCTTCACACAGGTGTAGAGGTTGGAGACCAGCCATGGGGACTCCACAGTGAGGCAGTGCTCTGCTTCATGGATCACCACCGTGACCCTTCTTGTCCCTAGGTGTGCACAGACACAGGGCACATGGAGACACAGGGAAGGAGCCCTCGGGGGCCTGGGAACCCTACATGGCCTACAATGAGCACAGATGAGGCACTGTCAGAGATGGAGGACAGAGTGGCCATGACAGCCTCTGAAGTTCAGCAGTCTGAGAGTGAGGTAACCTCACACCCTCCTGGACAAGGCCAGTGCCCAAGGAAAGGAGGGGTGAGCCAACACCACCCACATCCAAGGGGCAAGGCAGGCCCAGGCCTTTTCTTCAAGGGTTCCCGTCTAAAATGTGCCTGACATGAGTAGGTCACAAAGGGGACAGCTGTGAAGACCTGAGCCCAAGTTCCTGCCCCCATGGAGCTTACATTCTTTGTGGGAGGAGACACATAACAAAAAGTGAAAACAAACTGAATCGTTACATTATGAAATAGTTATGAGAACAACATGGAGGTTTGCCCCAGAGTGCCCAGGGAGGGATGCTTAGAGAAGGTGGTGGGAGGAGCACTGAAGAGACTCCAGTGCAGAAGTTTGAGGGCAGTGGTTCTCAACCAATAGGTTACAACCCCTTGGGGGGGGTCAAGTTGGGTAGAGGTGTGGAGCACCAAGTGTGTGTCCCTCCAGGACTTCCTCTGTAGCCTACACTGCCCACCTAGGACCTCCCGGTAACCCAGGAGTAAAAGCCCTGATTTTCTTGAGGCTGCCAATTATGTTTCCCGCAGCCAGTTGGTGAGCTGGATCCATTTTAGACGGGAACCCTTGAAGAAAAGGCCTGGGCCTGCCTTGCCCCTTGGGGGGGTCACATATCAGATCTCCTGCATATCAGATACTGGCATTATGATTCATAACAGTAGCAAAATTACAGTTACACAGTAGCAATGAATTTCATGGTTGGGGGTCACCACAACATGAGGAACTACAGTAAAGGGTCACAGCATTAGAAAGGTTAAGAACCACTGCTGCTCTAGGAGATTGGAGTTCAGGCAGATAGGGCAGAATGTGCAAAGGTGTCGGGGTGGTGTCGCGGGGAGGAAGCCAGGTATGGTGGTGCTGGTGCAGACTTGTAATCCCAGGTCTGGGGACACATGGACCAGAAGACCCCTGGGACTCACTGGCCAGCTACCTAAACCTACTTGGTGAGCTATAAGGGGACTATTCCAGAGGATGGTGGATGGAGAACCCTGGGGACCAGAGAGGCAAACCGAGGGGAGGGACTGGTGCTGGGATTCAGTGGTACAGACCATGCTTAGAGAGCATCTTAGGAGTGGCACCCAAGGTTATTCTCTCACCCACACACATAGTGCCAGCACAGCCATTCACACACAAAACTCCCTGAGGGGGGGGGCCAGCCCTTGGGTGGTCAAGCCTCATCTGGTGACAGAGATCTTCATTAAATTGCCACTTAGAGATGGGCGTGGCTAGAGTAACTGCAGGGAAGGCTCTTGCCACTGGACCTGTCCTTGAATTGGTGACCAGAACTAAGCATCCTTCCCCAAGTCCAGTCACGAGTTTCAGATAGAGAGAGCCATGCTGGGGCTATCAAGGTAGAAAAATAAAGAATGACCTCCAGTGCCTTAGGGAGGGTTAGTGATGAAATCCTTACCAGTCAATGTGGTATTTCAGATCAATCAATCAATCAATAAGTGACTTTCATATGTTACGTATCCCCCATGGAACCGCAAGTCCATATATGGCAAGAAACTGCCTGTTGGTATCTAAAATAGAAAGCTAACTGGAAAGTGTATTTAATTTGCTGAGTCCACAGCCTTGCTTTGTAATTTCCCCTTCGTCACAGCTTTGAACCACTGGCACCCGGCCGGCCGTGGCCTGGGGGGAATTCTGTTCCCCCAGACAATGGTTCTATGCTGCTGTTAAAGGTAGTTCTAACTAAATCTCTATCATTCTAATAAAACTGGAGATTCAAAGGCTAAGGTGAAAACCTGAAAGCTCAGACAGTTAGAGTAGCAACTGGCTAACTTTCTTAAGAGGCTGGCATCCCAGAAGCCACTCCCTTCCACACTACACTGGGTAGAGGTGTGGAGCACCAAGTGTGTGTCCCTCCAGGACTTCCTCTGCAGCCTACACTTCCCACCTAGGACCTCCCGGTAACCCAGGAGTAAAAACCCTGATTTTCTTGAGGCTGCCAATTATGTTTCCCACAGCCAGTTGGTGAGCTGGATCCATACAGGAGCTTTGTAATCATTCATTGCTTTGAAACTGAAAAAAAAAAAAAAAAACAATTCCCTATTGGCTGAGAAGACAGGAGAGCCACAAAGTGCCTGACACACAAGCAAACTTGTAAATACAGGGGCGGGGAGGAAGCCAGGTATGGTGGTGCTGGTGCAGACTTGTAATCCCAGGGCTGGGGACACATGGACCAGAAGACCCCTGGAACTCACTGGCCAGCTACCTAAACCTACTTGGTGAGCTATGGGACCCACTATGGGTGACATGATGCAACAAGATGATAATAACACATATTTCTTTCTCGGCCTCCAGATCTTTCTTCCCCGGGTTGCCGAGAAATAGAGCATCTGAGGAGTGGCACCCAAGGTTATTCTCTCACCCACACACATACTGCCAGCACAGCCATTCACACACAAAGGTTCCTGAGGGGGGGCCCAGCCCTTGGGTGGTCAAGCCTCATCTGGTGACAGAGGACTTCATTAAATTGCCACTTAGAGATGGGCGTGGCTAGAGTAACTACAGGGAAGGCTCTTGCCACTGGACCTGTCCTTGAGTTGGTGACCAGAACTAAGCATCCTTCCCCAAGTCCAGTCACGGGTTTCAGATAGAGAGAGCCATGCTGGGGCTATCAAGGTAGAAAAATAAAGAATGACCTCCAGTGCCTTAGGGAGGGTTAGTGATGAAATCCTTACCAGTCAATGTGGTATTTCAGATCAATCAATCAATCAATAAGTGACTTTCATATGTTACGTATCCCCCATGGAACCGCAAGTCCATATATGGCAAGAAACTGCCTGTTGGTATCTAAAATAGAAAGCTAACTGGAAAGTGTATTTAATTTGCTGAGTCCACAGCCTTGCTTTGTAATTTCCCCTTCGTCACAGCTTTGAACCACTGGCACCCGGCCGGCCGTGGCCTGGGGGGAATTCTGTTCCCCCAGACAATGGCTCTATGCTGCTGTTAAAGGTAGTTCTACCTAAATCTCTATCATTCTAATAAAACTGGAGATTCAAAGGCTAGGGTGAAAACCTGAAAGCTCAGACAGTTAGAGTAGCAACTGGCTAACTTTCTCTCTTAAGAGGCTGGCGTCCCAAAAGCCACTCCCTTCCACACTACACCAACTAAAACAACCATGCTAAGCCCCTCCCTGCTACTTCCTGTCAACCAGTTGCTTACCTCACCTCTCTGAGCCCAGGTTAATTTTATTTAGCCAAGGCAAATGAAACACATCTTTACATATTTAACAAATGCGGCATGAACAAATGTAACAACTATTCCACATCATTGTCTGGAACCCCAGGTGGTAATTGGTTGGGGTGTAGCGCCATGCTCTGTCCCCGCATGCTTGACCACTATCTACAGGGACCACTGTCCTGCATTGTGCCAGTCTTGCTTGACTCCCACTATGGGTGACATGATGCAACAAGATGATAATAACACATATTTCTTCCTCGGCCTCCAGATCTTTCTTCCCCGGGTT